TTCTTTTCTCTCTCTTCTTTTCTGTCTCTTTTTTGGTTCTTTAATTCCATAATTGGCCAAGGAAAATATTTTTCCTAAAAGACCCTTCTTTAATTCCATAATTGTAATGTCTGTGCTCGCAAAAACGTTTATTTGTGTTTGTAGAAAATCAGATTGATTTGATTTGAAAATGTAGCACATCCTTGTGGTTTTTGCAAGATAAATTCATAATTTCTATTTAATGCATCCAAACATGGTGCTTGCAAAAACGTTTTATTCGTGCTTAATGAAAATTAGATTTGATTTGACTTAAAAATAATAATAGCACATCCATGTGATTTTTGCAAGATGAACTCAAATTTTCTATCAATTAATGCAGCATCCAAACATGGGATAAATATATATATATAAGTTGAGATCGAAATAATTTCCATATATTAATAAATAATATTCTGCTCTCTGCATCAACATTGCTTTCCGCATCAACATGGAGTCATGGATAGATAGATGCATTTTTTATTTTTGCATGAAATAATATTCTGCTTTTTGCATTCTGTCAAAGCTCTGTATTTTTTTTTTTTTATCAGAGTTGTTGCAGACACTGATTATATGATGCTATTATTTTGTTATCTTGAATTTGATTGTAGTTTGTACTTTAAAAGATGCCTAGTGATGGCTCAAGTACTTGATTTAGTTGGCTTTGGCATCTTTATGTTGAATATTGAACTTAAGTAATTCATTTAGTTGACTTTGCATCTTTATATATACTATTGCATCTTTAATACTTTATTGGGTGGGTTTTGATTTTTTTTTTTTTCAATGTGCGCCTTGCTTTAGTCGGGCGCGGGCCTCGCCTTGCGCCTCAGGTTCCAAGAGGTATTTACGCTTTGTGCGCCTTGAGCCTTTAACAACTATGACCGTGAGAACGGATTTTGTGCGGGAAGGAACTGTGTGTTTGCTATTGTCTTGGTTTACATCAACGGCTGAATAATTCAAGACATCATGTTCACTGGTTAGCCAGTAAATCCGACAGTAATACACTAGGGAAGGTTCAAGGTCAAAAGCTACCTATCCCGATGCAGTTACTTTTCAATAGTACTCTCTCAAGTGTCTGTATCTTCTTCATTTGTAATTTACGCAAATTTCCATTCATGTGGGGGATTGTTGAAAACGGGGCCATTAAAAGCATAAACTTTTGATGAGATTTTGAAAAAATTCTGTTAAGAATTTTTTGCGGATTTATAGACAAGCGTTCCTCTCCGCAAGGAGATGAACGTGGTATATTTACTTTCTCAAATTCGTTTCCAGGTGAATGAGAAATTAGCTCCAAAGTGAGGTATTTGATAAGCCTAAATGGGTTTGCAATATGTAGGAAATGCTTGTCCCACATCGGAAAAATATTAAAACCATTTGAAATATAAATAAGCCTAGTATAGGATTTGGGTATAGGCCCAAGGGCACCCAAGTTTTTAGGAGGAGGAGGACCTAGGCAAGCTTGGGTCCGAACCAACTACCACACACGCGCGCCGCCAGCCCGACAAACCCGGTCCTGTCTGGGCTTAGACTGGGGCGGGGCGGGGCTTGATTGTGAAATATGTTTATTTTTTTATGAAACGAAATTGGGCTTGTGTGATTGGTTTTTAATTTTATTTTTGTTGAGCTTATTTAGATGGGCGAAATTGGGCCTGCTTAATGGGCTGGTTTTTTTAATTTAAATTAAAAACCAGATTTCAGTTTTTTCAATAAAGGGTTGCACCCATTCTCTTTAAACTGAACCAATGCATTCAGTTTTTTAACCACCTAACCTGAACCATCACAACCCATGTAGGTGATGGTTCAAGCCATCCGAAAAGGCACCATGAGGCCTATATAAACCCCCCCTTGGGATCATTCCAAAGCACTCCAATTCAGAATATTTCTCCTACTTCTGAATTCTCTCTTCTTTTATAAGTGTCTGTGGGTTCGAGCCTTGGGCAGTGAGTTCGAATCAGAGAGTACTACACTGAGCCGGTTCGCCTATTCCTTTGGTTTGCAGTGCTACTACCGAAGGAAGTAAAAGTCGCTGTATCCTGGGAGATAGACGCCACTGAGTCCGTTAGCACCATAGCGGGGCGAATTTGTCTTAAGGACATAGAATCAAATTCTAGCCTCGACTTCTAATCAGGTTCTTTTATCTTATAGTTTTATTTTATTATATTAAACTATATAATAAAAGAAATTATATATATATATATATATATATATATATATATATAGTTATTTTATAATAATAATTATATATATATAATCATTATAATTTTACATTATATTTAAATAAATAATACTATAGTATATGGTATATAAACCACACATTTTGGACAACAGGAGGTAGGGGCTAGTCGGTGATGGAAAGAACTGCCAAAGCCTGAAGGCTGAAGCTATATTGTCTGATATATCATATATATTTGCGCATGAGCCAGAGATGAGAGAACCAAAGTGTGAAAGAGGATAAAATAATATTTTGAGAACTTATATAGTGGGGGGCATTTGTGAAATTTCGCCCGCGGGGGGGGGGGGGGGGGGGGGGGGGGGTTGATGGTATAAAAAAAAAAAAAAAAAAAAATCAAGTATATAATAAATAAATAAAAAAATTCCAGAGGGGGCATTCGCCCTCCCTAGTCCCCTTACAGGTCCGTGGCTGATAATAAGGATGAATTACTCTAACACCCCCTCAGGTTTTCTATTATTACTTGCAACTTAAACTTGTAAAAAAAAAAGTTGGTCAACCTCCCTTGAGGTTTGGTTGACTTGACTCTATCCTAACCTCCCCTTCAGTTAACTAAACCTCAGTCAAGTTAGAAGTGAGTGAGATAACAAAATGAAATGCCCAGACTACCCTTCTTTATTGTTAAGTGACCAAATAAGCCTTGCTCCCCCTCTCTCATTAATATCTTGGGTTTAGTTATAAAGTGCAAATAAGTTAGTATAATATAAATATTAATCAATTATTAATTATTTTGAATGTGAATATTAATTATATTAACCTTACTAATATTCCTTTTAAAATGATAATTTTATACATTATATTAAAAATAAATTACGGAGTAGTATAGTTTATTTATTATTTTTTTCCCGAAAATTACGGAGTAGTATAGTTTCTCCCTCATCTCTTTACTCAACTGGGATTTATGGAAACTTTTCAGCACCCAAAGTTCAAAGCAAAGACGTAATTAGGGCTGGATTTTAATAACCGTAAATGGGTCATTAAAACCCAACGCAACAAGATTTTAATGTCAATAGTGAATTACAGGAAGAGGGCAGAGCGAGTGTGAGAGACAGTTAAAATATTAGGGTTCCTTTTGACAAAAAAATATGAAGTGGTGAAGACTTGATCAGTTGAATTTGGTTGCAAATAGGGCTTGATTTGGGAGAATTAGGGTGGAAAAAGTTGATAGTGTGAAATAGGCTTTGAATCGGGTTCATGGGATGGGAAATGTTGTTACATTAGAAATTGTGTATTTGTGCTTGGCCAAGGATCAACATATCTGAGATTACCCATCATCAATTGCTTCATTGCCGACAACCATGGTGGCAAAATAGTGGAAGAAAACCCCCATCTTAGCAAACCAAAAATCAGTGCTTGCAATTGAGCATTTCTGCGACGCTTCCCTCCGCTCCACCACCATCGCCGACCTCCGACGCTGCCCTCTACTCCACCACCGTCACCGATCTCCGACGCTGCCCTCTACTCTGCCACTGTCGCTGACCTCTGACGGCTGCCCTCTGCTTCGCCACCGTCTTTGAGCTCTGTCAATCCACACTCTCATGAGTCTCAGACGAAGAGTGGATTTTTTAATTTTTTTTGAAAGGTTGACGAAGAGTGTGGATAGAGAGAGGAAGAGACTGTCGTGTAATTTCCTTTTGGGTCTGTTGTGTCAGCATTTTGCATATTTCTTATATAAAAATGAGTGTGTAATGGTAAAAGCAACAACATAGTTAACAAAACTAACTTCGTTAAACTCTGATAATAATTGTGTAATGTGTGAGCAAGTATCATGCATAATTTTATTTTATTTTGACTTTTATTATTCTTGTATTATTTTTTGTTCTATATTAAATTTTGGCCATTGCAATATTGGTTTGGCCATGTGAATAAATATTATATTTTCTTAATTGAAAGAAAGATTGGACAATTTGGGGTGTGTGTTCATCTTCTCTCCAAGATTGTTGGACATTGCTCTCTTTAAGATGTATTTGTACTGCATAAGGCATGGGTTAGGAAGGAATGCGTAACATGTGTTGGCCAAGTGTCTGAAATAATAATATTTACTTCTGAATTATGGACATGTCTATGAGGTGCAGATATGTGTGTTGAAGTGTCCATGAAGTTTTAGTGTCCAACATGAGCACGTCATCTTTGTAGAAGTATCAATGCTTCTTAGCTGTGCATTACGGAAGGAGCAGAATCCTTTGATCTTGATGATGGTTTGAGTATCACTAGTGTTCTCTCAGGTTGCAAGATTCATGCTCTCTGGTTTGAGGCTTTGCCAAAGAGATATTTTGCCATTTCTGATTGCAAATTTTTCTTTTTTCTTTTGTGATTTAGTTCTTCTTATTAACACACACATTTCAAGATGACAATAATAATACCAATGGGCAATGGTTTAGAGCACCTTTTCTTGTCTTTGGGTCTTTCCATCTTAGATGCTTAGGAGCTTGCCCTTCTTTCTCATTTTGCCAAGCACTCTTTCCTGTTAATAACCTTTTTTGGTTTCTTTAGAAAAACCACAGTAACTTATTTTTTTTAATGCCCTTCTTTATTTTCCCCACAGTGTGCAATTTGTTCTTGCTTTTAGAATTATTCAATTGTCATGGAGTTAAAATGTTCTTTACCTCAACTGTCTCTACGTAGATAATTTATACGTGATTAGAGAACTGTCAGCTAACTTCTTAATGAGTTTACAATATTCACTATTGCTTTTGAATTCCAGAATTCTTGCCATTTTAATCATGGTGCTTTCTTATAATTGCCTTACGGACAGGTAATTTATACAGTTGGAAGGGATCCACAGTACCAAAAAAAGATCACTGCAGAGACAGCACCCCTGATCACCGCTCCCGTCATTGTAGGGATACCTTCCTCTCAACTACAAATACTTTTTGTCAGTTTTCTTAAGTTCTATATTTAGGCTTTCTACTGTAGGAATTGATGGGAAACTCTAATGCTGGAAGCATAGCTGTAATTTTGAATCAAATTGAGGTCTCTGTTAATAAGGACATGTGATAGATACATAGTAGTGATCTATCACACACCATCTGCAATACCTTCCCAAAACCAGAATGCAGTACAACAAGCATGTTACACTCCAAATAAAGGGCTGAAATGGGACTCTCCTTTTCCTTTGTTTGTAATGAAACCTAAACTGCTTTTGATCTAGTACTTTGTGCATACATATTGATTTAAAATGGTTGATCCAGATGAGCCTCATGTGCTTAACTAGGTTCTAGGTTTGAGAAAAGTTTTGATAGGGGTGAATATGTGCCGGTCCAATGAGAGTGTTGGATTGGTTTTTCAAAAATAAATTGTTGTTAGTCAAATTTGTTTCTCTTTTTCTTTCTCAATTGCTGAACAAGATCAACTTGGTTGCAAGTCGGTTTCCCAAAAATAAATGAGCGATGAGTTTGATAGGATGTGATTCATGTTACATGCATTATGTTCAGATGATATAGGCTCAACCTGGACAAAATTGCACTCCTATGTACAAGCATGAAGTAACCTGATGTTGAGACTGATTCCTTATAATAAATCTAAGAGTACTTTTAAACTGGACAGATCTTATTAGTTTGCCATATAGAAAAAAGTTGCAAAGTTTTCTGTGGCCATGTTATTCTCGAATGTACTGGACTTTCTTACACAGTTACTTCCAATACAGGTTTTGGTGAACAAAAATACTGCTAGTGCAAGTGAAATTGTGAGTTGCTTAGATTGTTATTTTACATGTGATCTATACTCTGGTATTTATGACGATATTGTTGTAAGCCGTGCTTCTCATTTCAGGTCGCTACTGCACTTCATGATAACTGTAGAGCTGTTCTTGTGGGGGAAAGAACTTTTGGCAAGGTCTAAATATCTGCTCATTCCTGAATTTTTATTTTTATTTTTTATTTTCTTGTGATGGTGTAGTTTTTTCCTATTGTGCTTTTTCTATAAATGGTGTAGCAAGATAAAACTTAGTCAACCTGTAACAGGGCCTGATTCAATCTGTATTTGAACTTCATGATGGGTCTGGTGTGGTGGTCACTATTGGGAAGTATGTAACGCCAAAACACATGGACATAAATGGAAATGGAGTGGAGCCCGAGTTTCTTAAAGTTCCTGGTAAGAAACTTGCATGCTTTTTTGCCAGAGAAATGAAATTGGTTCCCACTAATCTACATAACCTCCCATTTGCAGCTTGGAATGAAGTCACGAAGCATCTGTCTGAATGCCATATGCAACAACAGGGATAAAACAAAGGTTTGTGCTACCTCGCTATTTCAGTTATGCCTTTGCTCAGCTAGTCATGGTTTGCCACATATTGTTGCATATTCTTACATGTAGCTATTTACACTGCCCGAAAGTGACTCTAATTTTTTTTTTTGTGAAAAGAGAAACATGTGCAAATTTGGTATGTGATTTATTCAGCTTGCTCATTGGTGCTCTGATTCTGAGCTGATATTTGGCTACGATGACCTGATTGATACATGTACTTCCGTATTCAGTCTTTTGATCCTCCTCTTTCCTAAGAACCAACAACGAAGAAAATACGTTGATGGATTCAGAGTCTGGGGAGTTCAGTCATACCAGCACCGACCAAAAAAAGAGGATTGAATATTTCATTAACTGATTCAATGAAATAATTGTAAAAACCATCCTAGTGTATTACAAGAACCATTTAAAGAAGGTATTAGGTGTATATCTTCATACGTGTTGATACAAAAACGTATTTTCTTCTCGACTGTTGTCTTTATCAATTCCTCACACTTGATATCTTGTACATATTCCTCATATCTGGGTCATCATTTTTTTCCACGATTGATTGGTTTTATAGGAAGAAAGTCGAACTGAAAATGATCATTTTTCTTTCTTCTTGTTGTTGCAGGTGATACTAACTTTAAAACCCAACAAACAACAATTGGTTCTATATTCCAGCACTTTTCTAACCTGGTACTTGAGTAATTTCAATTTAGCCGAGGAGAGCAATGTGATGTATAATGTACATTCGTAGTGCATTAGAGTTATAATAGTCTGACTAGTTGTTATCCCATAAATTTGAACATGTCATTTTGATATATATCACGTGTCTAACCTCAGGGGCTTCATGGATTTGAGTTCCATTTAAGTTTAATTGGATTTTGTAAAGTAAGATGCATTCATCAATAAATTTCAGTTCTGACACGGAATATTGGAGTCTGAATCACAAATCGTATATACATACATACTGTTTTATGGATCACCTTACTTTGATAAATAAAAAAAATAAAAAAATTTCTTAGAACAATTTGAAATCGAAATTCAAAAACAATTTGTGATCATAAAAACAGAAATGCATGAATTGTTCAAGTTCTTTTGGTTAAAATGCTTTTTTACGTAATAGAATAGAAAATGAGAATTCATGAATTTTTTTTATAAACTTTTAATCATAATTTAATGATAAGGCTGGATTGAGTAAAGCGCAAGTATTTAAGGAATCACTAATTCTTCTCTCTCTATTAAACCCTTCGATCCGTCGTCGTAGGATCAAGAACGCAACACGTGACTTGTGGAAGGATTAGCTTTTGTGAAGCTCAAATATCAAGAGGTCCAAATAGTATGTGATGAAACAGGTGAAGTTCAGTCAACGAGAGCGCAAAATCAACTACATGCAGGATCATCGTCATCAGAATAACTTACTACACATTGGTGCTTATTCAGAATTAATTCTTCAATTTCCCTGTCATTATTCTATATATATATATATATACACACACTGTGATACACACTAGTATGTATCATAAATTTGACAATATGACTAAAATTTTTCGATTTGTTGATTCCTCTTGGCGAAAATAGGCTTGCTAGATTTGCCAGCCGACAGAAGTTTAGCAAAACTAGACCCAGCACTGACACATCAACACAAGCGAACAATTGATCTGGACTAATAAACAATTGATCTATGCAAAAATAATGAATCGGTGGACTTTTCACGTAATCACGATAAAAATAACCATTTTTTTACTAAATCGTGGATCCCACCGTACATCGTCTCAATAACAAATTCCAATAATGCCAACAGTTTAATATTACACACTTCATGCGGATCGAATTGTACACTTCTTCATGTGTTCGAAACTTGTATCGATTAATATGTTATTAGGTTACATTTCCAAAAAAAAAAAAAAAAAATTGTATCTATTAATTTTTACGGCTGATTTTTCTGCATAGAAGTGAAGTGCCTTCTCTTCTTCTACCTCCAACTCTCTCTCTAGATATTTCTCCATAAAGCTGCTGGTCTTTCTTTGCCGGGAAAACACAAGGACGTTAGAGAACAAAAAAAAACCGGAGATGCTGACTCTTTCTCTCTCCTCCGCGTACTCTCCCTCTTTCCACAACAGACACACTCTCTCTCTACAATCTCCGCCTCCTCAGAGTGGGCTTCTTCGTCTCACTCAAGACACCCCCTACCTTCGCTTCAATCCTCCTGGGTAAGTTTCACTGTATTTGATGAAAATCGTAACCTAATTTTGAAGGATTTTTCAGTGTTGTCTGATCAGCGTTTATGATTTTTGGTTTTTTTTGTTGCAGAGTTTCGGTTAATTGTAAGGAGGTGATGAAGAGGAACCGCCGAGGGTTTGGTCCTGTTTGTTACTCTGCGCCTCTCACTCCTCGAAGCCTCCAGTGGATCTCCACCGTTTCTTCTGCGTAAGCCTCTCGCTTTCTCTCTCTAAATTGTATTTCCAAGTGGCCTTTCTTTTTAAGATTGTGTGTAACACAAAAGGCTTACATTTAAAATTCCTTTTAAAAAAAATTTATATATATATATTTAATTAAAATTTATCAAAATTTACTGATGATGGGAAATAATATTTTTAAATGTTTTATTTAAATTGGATGATTTAATTCACTGGATCAAAGCTAATAGGTATGACATCCTTAGTTCCAAGACGACTCCTTTTTTCAGCATCGGGGCAATAAACGATGGCTTAAACTATTCTTAAGAAAATGATGGCTCAAGAAATGTATTTGAATTCCAACTTTTGGTTATTTTGATTTGGAGATCAAGTTTTAAAGGTTAATAAAGTTTGATGACTCTAGAAGTATCTTGAATCTGTCAAAAACAAGGTTTGAAGTTGATTTGACTTTTAAAGTTGCCTATGGCCGGTATTAGGGGTGGTCACGGATCGGATTAGGCATCAATCCTAATCCGATTTGCTCCCAACGGATTAGAGAATTTTTAATTCGCCACCGATCCGTTATCCCATGGATTAGATTGGATCGGATCCTTGTAATAACGGATCGGATCGGATTGAATCCACGGATTAAGTTTTATTTAAATTATCTATTATTATTATTTTTATTTTTATTTTTATAAGTAATATTATTTATTATTTATTTATCTTTTAACCCTAACCCAATACATAAAATTTTAATTTATTAATATTAATTCATATATTTAAATAATTATTAACTAATATACATTAAATTATCAGTAACTATTTAAATTAACTAATATATTTTTTGAAAATATATATATATATTTCACGGATCAGATTTTTAACAGTTCAATCCGTGAGCTACGGATTTGATTTTTTTGAATCCGCCACTGATCTGTGGGAGTAGCAATCTGATCCGATCCGTACGGATCGGATTAGATTCGCGGATTCACGGATTATTTGCTCACCCCTAGCCGGTATGGAGTGGAATTTAGTTGTCGGATATAACAGAATTTAGGATCATCAAGGAAACCCCCTGTGATAGGTTTTGCCACAATGCAAGGTAGAGTCGGTTGCAAAACTAAGAGTAAGCAGGTAAACCAGCAAAAAAATTGTAATCTATCATACATGCCAATGTGCCATTAGGTATTGCTAGACTACTAGTCCTGCCTACGTGGGACATTAGAAAGGTAGACTTGAGACAGGTCTAACCTTCGAGATTACTTTGCTCAAATTGGCTGCAAGCAGGCATCCTGAAGCATATCAGTGTGAATTTTACCATTGCACTAAGCAATGACTAAACTGTAAATTTATCATATAGATTAAAAATGAAATAGGGCTGGAAAATAGCTTATTCACTAAAGACTAGGCATCTCAATTTCCAGTTGCCTGTTAAACAGCTTGTTCTATTTTTCACCTGAAATTCAAATTGATAAATAATAGTGTCATGATTCAGTCTTTTAAAGTGAATAGGTCAACATTAAAATCTTAAGGGCCTTTCCAATTGGAACTTAGTTGTATGCCGCGTATGATTCATATAGAAAGTCTTGCATTTAAACTTAAGTTGGTATGTTGTTCCAAGAATTGATTGATTATACTATGTACTCTGATTTATAATTAAATTATTTTTCCAGGGTTTTACTGCTTGCTAGGGGAACTGGAGTTCAGAAATCCTTTGCTGTTCCTTTATTTGCCCTACAAGCGCCTGCAAGCCTCATCTCATGGATCAAGTAAGCATTTTATTTTTTATTTTTTTATTTTGATTTTTATACTGTCCTAGGAAGCACGGACACTCCTAAAAGGGCAAAAGAATCCGTGTCGGTGTTCTGTGTCAGACACCGACACATGCGTCTACACGCTACCGTGTCCAAATATTTTATATTTTTTTGAATATCTGGATGCGCTACGGACACGCCATGGATATGTGTCCAACACGTGTGTCCCATTCTTTGGGGAATTTTAAGAAAGTTTTAGAAACAATGTTGAGTTGAAGTGTAAACATTAGGAGTTGTTTAATTACATAATTACTTAAAAACTTTTTGTTTCATAAAACAATTTTATATTCAAACAATTAGATATTTATTCTTATATTTTAGTTCAAAGGTTTGATCTCTTGCACGATCGTCTTTGACTCTCTTGTTGTCCCTCCAACCAAGCTTTGCAACCAGTGAATGGTCTCTCTATCTCTATCTCTCTCTCCTCTTTCTCCTCTTTTCTCTCGTATTCTTTGTCCTTTTTGCTTTCTTCTTCTTGTTCTTCACAAACACTAAATAATTCTTTTTTTCCTTTCACAATAAATTTCTTTTAGTCTCTTTTTCCTTTTTCCTTTATTCCCCATGAACTTTTTTCTCTTATATGGATTCTTATCTTTATTTTTAACTAAGGCATAATTCTTTTTTCTAACAAAACCCTAATCGTCTTTGTCTCTCTCAGTTTTTTTCCCCCCCCTCTTTCTTAACCCTCTTTCTTTTACCCAGCAAAACACATATTTTTTTTTTTTTTTGTCATTATGAGATTGTAAAAAATAATATTACTCTTAATTTCTTAAAGTACAATATCATATATATATATATAAAATATATTTCTTATTTGCCGTGTTGCCATATCCGTGTTATGTCGTATCCGTGTCCCGTATCCGTTTCCGTGCTTCTTAGATACTGCCTTTTCGTTAATCAAATAATCATAGTCATGTTTATAGATTCAGCATAAAGTTTTAGTCATATTTCATGCCTTAGTGATTCTTATTTAAATTTGTTTTGCAGGGGTGAATATGGTATTTGGACTGCATTCTTGGCTCTTCTTGTTCGTCTCTTCTTCTCTATTCCTGGTAGGTTCTCTAGTTATCAGTATAATTTTCAATGTACAGTTTGATGAGATTATTGTTTCTTTTGTCTTCTGGATTTGGTTTTTAATTGCTTAATTCAACTAATTTCTGAGTAACTAACATTTGAACTTTTTGCATTGTTCTTTTGTTTATGTTTTCTGGATTGTTTCATAGTTGTTGATATCAACTTGAATCCTATGTGAAATAGAATTATCTAAGAACCCCAAGGGACAGAGAAGGTATCTGTTTCCCCTCCTGAAACTCATGAGTGCTTCTGCCATTTTCTCCATAATTATAACCTTCAACCTATGAGGAAAAGCGGAAAACGTAATTATGGAATGTAAAACAAATAAACAGTGGATTGGTTTGTTGTGATTATTATTGTATATCTCTGCAACTTTGCCCTGTATTCTATTTTCTGCTATAATAAATTGAGCATGCTAAGAATCTCAAGATATCTTATCTCGTGTCTTCTTTATATATAGGTGAACTGGAGTTGCCGTTTATAGCATTACTGTTGGTGATTGTGGCTCCTTATCAGGTTTTGAACCTAAGGCAAGTGGATGTGTTTACTAGATAATTGACACTTTTTTTTTTCTTTCTTTTATGAACTAGTTTTCATTATTCCCTTTAATCATTGGTGGCAGGGGTACAAAAGAAGGTGTCATGCTTTCGTTGGTGATTGCTGGGTATTTGGCTTTCCAGCATTTCACACGGGCAGGCAGCTTGCGGAAAGCTTTCGACCAAAGTTCAGTTGTTGCTACCTTGGCCATTATTTGTATCGTTGCTGTGTCATGCTTGCTTTTGATCTGACTTTAATACTGTAAAGAGCATTCCTGTTAACCTTCTACAAAACACTAAACTTGTGTGAAGAAGAAGGTTAGAGAATGACCGTCGTATCTAAACATTTCTTTTTCTTTGCTTAAAAACTTTAACTTATATTACTTTTGGTATTCTCGTTCCCTATGCATTACCCCTAAATGTGGATCACTTCATTCTTCCTCTGGTGTAGTTATTGTTCCTCACTGCACATGGCATCAATGATGAATAATTATCTAAACTCAAATTTATGGGCTCTTTAGAGGTCTTGGGATTAGTTGTTGGGATATGGGAAATCTTAGAAGTCCTTTGGATGATCAAGTCGATTAAAGAAATATATCAAAATCAGAGATTATGGCTCTTTGATTCTAGGCTTAGTTATCCTGTCATCTGGATATTTTTGTGAAGCATTTTTAAGCCTAATCAAATGTGGTGTCTATGGCAAGTTTAATTACCTTGTTTGGATGTTATGGTCTTATGGATTTTATATTCAACAAATCATCAAGTCAAGGATGTATTGTAATTTATAGCAGTGATTCTCTATTATTAATCTTATATAGTAGTGTCCATTGATGGCCTAGTACAACAAATTGTCATGTTCCTTCTAGCTTGCCCTTTCTCCTATGTGAAATCTAGTCACCATTACTCAAGGCTGTGGTTAGGTCAGAGTACGAATATTTAACTAGATATTATTTGAAACTAACCTTTTAAATTTCTGTTGATTCTTATTTATATTTCAATTATTTAGTTTGATTTCGTAAATAGCAATATAGCATGCATCTATGCAAACAAATAAAGCAAAAAATAAATAGAGTAGAGACACCAGATTTTTACGTGAAAAACTCTAAATAGGAAAAAAAGCAATATATAAATAATGCAAACAATTATTTAGTTTGATTTCGTAAATAGCAATATAGCATGCATCTATGCAAACAAATAAAGCAAAAAATAAATAGAGTAGAGACACCAGATTTTTACGTGAAAAACTCTAAATAGGAAAAACCATGGGACCTTGTCCAGCCATGAACAAATCCACTATGGAAAAGAGATAGTACAACCAAGTTACCAGATCCCCACCCTAAAATCCCCTAAATACCTCTTCCTCCACCGAGTCTTCAGGTTGTTTGCTTCGTTAACAGATCCACTCCTCATGCAATCTGCTTCTCCATGGTCTCTTTAATCTTTCTGCTCTTGTGTCAACATGTTGAATTGATCTTTGTTGGTAATTTTTATAAACTCCATGTATCACATAATAATGTCGCTGTAGGAAATCCTAGATTGAGAAACAGGGGATTTTTCTCTCTCTAAAATAAGGATTCTCTCTAGACCTCTTAGAGTTTTAATTAGTGACTCTAGATTGGCTATAGCCCCATATTTATAGCCAATATAGGAGACCAATGTAAAATGGCAAGTAAAATCCATTTTAGAGGTCTTATTTGAGAGAGTTTCCTATAAATAAATTGTTGCTGGGTTAAATTGATTGAGCCATTGATCGACACCTACTCGGAAATCCTCGATCGGTCGAGCCTTTGATCAAGGCGTACTGGTTTTCAAAACAATTTTAAGCAAAGCTTTTGATCTATCCATCTATCAATTGAGGTTTTCTAGAAAACATTCAATTGATCGATCTCTCAATCAAGTTTTAGTGTTTTTCAATGTAACCTACTTTTAAAATCTTTGAGAAAACTCAAGTTCAAGAGTCAAATATATATATATATATATATATATATATATATATATGTATGTATATAAAGAAAAGATCAAAACTATATAAGATAATTTGAGCCATTTCAAGAGCAAAATTAGACCATTTAAGGTATCTACAGTCTCATTTACCTATGTCCTAGGAATGTGATTGAACCTTGAGAGATTTGCGCCGTATTTTATGGTAATCTTTTTATTCAGAGGTTGTAGACAAACAACTCATGACATTTTGCATACACAACAATCCGTGTTTTAAACAGGAAATTGTCAACCCTCCCTCTACCTTTGGCAATTTTTATATTTATGTTAATCTGTAGAAGATGTAAATTTTCTAAAATTAATGATAGGAGTTGCACTAGGATATCAGCAGTTGATCACCTATCATTCAGATATAGAATCACACCAAATTTTCAATAAAAACCTATGTAGTTTATAATGTTTAAGTATGACATAACTTGTTCAGGGGCTTACCATCTTCAACGTTCACAAGGAGGTGCCTTTTAGATGGATGTCATGCAGAAATTATTTGGTTTGTGGAAATTGAGCTTGGTGTATGATTTTTGGGGATAGCAAGTCTGTGGAACCAACTTCTTAGAAGTTTGATTTTGACAGGTTCTCAAGTCCTGCACATTTTACTGAATGAAAAATAGAACAATGAAAAATAGAACAGAGAGAGAGAGAGAGAGAGAGAGAGAGAGAGTTAGTTTAGGAGTCATAAATATATTTTCCTGATGAAACCTACTTTTTTAGTTTTAATCACCTTTAGGTAACTCACAAGTGACTATAGTGTTTCAATTGAATGACCTCCCTAGGTTTACTTGGGATCATAATGCAGTGCTATCTTTGTGCTGCTATATAATGGACAGATCAGCGAGTTGAAGTTTCATTTGATTGATAGACTCTAAAAGTAGTTACTGGTTTTGAAAAGAAGTGAATTTCAGAATTGCTACATACGAGGAAATGATATATCACATGTAGCAAAATGAAGTGATTTCCAGTTTTATGAAACGACAAATTAAAACCTCTCCAATATAAAATCCATAAATTCGTTTTTCGGTGGGGTCAGGAGTGAATTCTTTTTTTTGAACTCTGGCTAGCAAAGCTATTTATTTAGTCATTGAAAATTTGATTAAGTTTTTATATGGCTTGGTGGATTTGCCTAATTAAACGGTATGACACAGGCACGTCACTATCATAATGTCTCATAACATACATCCATAATCATCTTTGTTATTGTCCATACTTGTTCAACTATTTAGCATCGCCCTTTCCATATTAGTATATTAGGGTGGTAGTTATAATAAATTTATCTAATACCATTAATCATGTCTAATGTTGAATGCAGTAATTTATTACTATTCTGGTCATTGAGTCAGTTCATGGCTATTGTACACATCTCTTCACTAAAACAGTCCTATAACCAGATAGGTGTGTCTAAAGATTTTATTTTGTTAAGAGCAGAAAGACTAGCTATAAAGAACCCACTAGATTACTTTTCTCTTCTTCACTTTCCTCTAGCTTCTAGCTGAACTAAAAGGCGCAAATAGATGAAATACATTAATGGTCTTGTGGTAAGAATGAGGTCTTGAAATTTATATCTTGCTTCTTATCCCAGTGCCTCCTTTAAACTGTGTAAAGTGTTTCTGGTGATTTGAGTGAACCGCCATCTCATTGTGGAGAGAGAATGACTTTACTTTGTTCCCATTTGTTTAGAGATAATTTGCTGCAAGAATCGAGAAACAACTTGTGGTGATGATCAGCAGTAGGTTGAGCGATGCAGAGTATGCTGAGTTGGGGGTCCCCGTTGGTTCTGCACCATAATCTGTTGGTACGCTTGGAGTGCCAGGATATATCGATGAGCTTGGGGTGGTAGGAGATGTATATAAACCTGGGGGTGGAGGACTATTCATTGAACTTGGAGGACTGTTCGATGAAGTTGTGCTGTCAATGAAAACACGGATACTTTTTTCAGTTGCTTTCCTTTTTGTCAGGAGAAATGAAATTAGAAGTGTTTTGGAAATTTACCTGGGTGTTGTGGTGGACATTGCAAAGTGACAACTTCCAGAACCTGCAATAATGGAGTAGTAGTTTGGAAGTTAGCCAAATTTTACCATATTTATTTAAGAACAAACATGTAATCACAGCTATAAAGTGGGGATCTTAAAAATATTCAGTGTGAGGATTGTTGAAATTAATCTGAAAAATATGGTAAAGTTGAGTAGTTGAAAAGAAACTAATTGATCAAATAGAAGCATAATTTACACACTAAGTACTCATAGATATTTTGAATCATTCAGAATCAACAAATTCAGGATATATAGTCACAATGATATAAATGATTACTTGGCGAGTAATCAGTAAATTAGTGATATAGAATTAGCAGAAAAATAAATAAATAACTAAATAAAAAGTTGATTTAGAATTTTGTGGACATATCTTACTTGGATCAGTGTTGGTAAGCTGTGCTGTTCCTCCAAAAACACAGCTAGTTGGAGATGGGTTCTTCTGGTAGTAGTTATTGAATGCATATGAAGCATGGTCATGAAGTGTGTTTGGATTATAACAACTTGCACCTGGTTGAATTGCTGAACAATCTGCTCCTCCATAGCCGCAAGCATAGTCAAGAGCTACCTGTAAAGCGGTTTCCGATGCAGATGGGCTCGCAATACACCAAGACCCGCCCGATGATGCAGGGGTGGTGGTTGGGCTTGGTTGCGTGGTGGTTGGGCTTGGTTGTGTGGTGGCTGGTGGTGGGGGGCTTGTTACAATAGGAGTCATTGTAGTCGGAGAACTTGGAGTTGTTGTAATTGGAGAACTTGGAGTTGTTGTTGGAGAACTTGGAGTTGTTGGGATGATGATGGGAATGGTTGGGGTGGAATCCCTTTGGGTGGTGAACTTTAAAGATGAGAAAAGTATTTGGTTTTCCAGTTCTCTCTTCTGTTGGATTGCTTCCGAGGGAGGTTTCTCTGCAATGCTTGCTTCTGAAGAAATCCAAATCAAGGTTAGTCATTCTTTTTCCTTTTTCCACCTTTCTCTTGAAGAATGAGAATTTATCAAGTTTGAATTGATTCTGTATAGTCATGATAAGCCCAGAAATTTTTACAAATAGCACTCTGTTAAAGTTATACAGATGTATGGTTTTAACAGATTAGTCTTATCAAATGAAGAATGATAATAATGACATAAAAATGCATTGATTTGATTTGGAATCAGCATTGAACAGGAGAATATGATAATTGAGAAACCAAAACACAATCTTGAAAAAATAATTACTCTATCCTTTATGGCAACATATCAATTCTTCAGGATATTGTGGGATTACAAAACCTTTGTTTCATTGCTAAATTTTTCCACAATATGTTAGATTTTCCATTGTTTGATAGAAATTCCTTTGTAACTATAGATGTTTCTAGTTAAAAACCAATCAGCAGCCGTAGAAAGTGAAGATTACAAAGTGCTTGCATTGCCTATTTGAAGATAAAACACATTGAAACTATTCAGGAAATTCAAATATGAAATACACTCTTTAGAATTTTTAGATTATAAAATTTGTTAACCACCGAATACAAATGCTCGGAATAGGAGGAGAAGCATGCGTTTAGCTGTAAACACTTCAAATCGAAAACTTTAAAGACAGTGAAGATTACCTGAAATGAGGAAAAGAATAGAGAGGAAGAACATGGAACAGTGAAGAACTCTAGAACCCATCTCTCCGAACTACTTCTACGAGCTAGTTCTGAATTTTCTTCTTCTTTCGTGGGAACAATAATCGGAAAGAAATGGAGATTTCTCTGGTAAGAGAAGCACCAATGGTGGGTGTCTCTGCTTAGAAGAAATTATCTTTTGTTACCCTTATTAGGTAATATATATATAAAGTTTGAAGAATCATAGCTTTCTTGAGAAGGAAAGGGAGGGGAGGAATATGAGAAAACTTGAGAAAGGAGGCATTTAGAAGTTGGGAAGTGCAAGCAAGAGGAGGAACTACAATAGGGGAAAAGGTGTATGAAGTGGAAAAGGGAAAAGAGTGATCTGCCTGGAATTAAATCTGATGTTTGTGCTGCTGATTAACTTGTAGTTTATTAATATGATGATACTGATGTGGTGGAATTTCCCTTTCACTTTTCTCCCCCATCTTTCTACTGTTTCATGGGACTAAATCAAAAGCTAAAGGTGTGTGTGGAGAGAGAGAGAGAGACTGTGTGTGTGTGTGTGTGGTCTTGAACCAAAAGTTTCCTCTCTTGTGATGTCTCTCTCTCTCTCTCTCTCCTCACTGGGTATGTCTTTTTTTATTAAGAGCTTGCATAGATGCATACTGCCTAAAGATATTACTGATTGCAGGGAGAGGAAACATATCAATATCACATTGCCTGATCTTTCCCTCAAGAAGTTCCTTTAGTTCTTTTACATTATATATTGTAATGCCCATTTGCACTTTTATGAATTCGCATACTTATGTATGTTTGTGTGCGCGCCTCCATATATGTATATAGTATAAGCCGTCATATTCACTCGGAAGATCAGATATCAAACAAGAGAGTGTGACGGTGGGTTCCACCATTGCACAATTGTGGGGGGTCTACAACCCTCTCTCTTGTTCGAGATTCGGCTTTTAGAGTGAGAAGAATTTTCAATATAATATTGACTCACCCAAGGTACATTTAGTACAAATTTTCGAATAGGAGAATTTGAACTGAGTGTATTTACAACACTCTCTCCTATTCAAGATTCGGCTCTAGACATTTTCATTGTACATGTTTTTACCGTCCCTTTATTTTGCTCCGACTATTTTTTTTTTTTTTTTTTTTTTTTGGGGTTCTTACGAGCAAGGCCCTCAATTTTGCATTTTCCTCGAGATGTAAATCAAACCAATCCCGATGTGGTTGTGCTTTCATGGGCTAACCTCTTTCAATTGGTCAAATATCAAAGGATTAAAAGACGTTTAATCGAGAACGGAGTCCCACTATAAAACAACAATCTTTTCCCTCACCTTTGTTCAATGTTGACAGGTCACCTTTTACTGCCAACACATTCTTCTCTTTGAATATATATGGTCGGGTCTCCGATTGGCAAAGATGATCAATGTTTATTGAAAATGGCGACTCCTATGTACATCAAACATGGCCTCCCATCAACAAGATGAGCTCTGAGCTACAATTTATGAGCTCCCATTTCAAAATCCAAATCATGAACAGACATGAAGTTTGCCATCGAAAGTGACATCTGATCAATGTACATCTATCGCCAACAATGATCAACATACATCCAAGATGGCCTCCAACTGTATTTTGATCCCTTCTCGGACTTTTTTTAAAGATACCCTTTAAGCTCCCTTCTCGGAATTTTATCTTTTTTGTTCTTACAACTTACAAGCAAGGCCCTCAATTTTGCATTTTCCTCCCCCCCCTTTTTAAATCAGTTTTTCAAACAAGGCTCATACTAGATGTAAATAAAACCAACAATAAATGGGCAGAGTACACAAGAAATGTTCTAACCTCTTAATATCAAAGGATTAAAAGATGAAAACCAACAATCTTTTCCCACATTGATTCAATGTTGACAACCAGGTCACCAGTTACAGGCAACGGATCTCCAATTGGCAAAGATGATCAATGTACATCAAAAATGGTGAGAAATATAATCAATGTACATCAAAGATTATCCAAGATGGCCTCCCATCAGCAACTTCAGCTACAAATGACGGTCCGTCCAAATCAAGATTAGCTACAATTGACAAGGTCGTCCATCTCAAAATCAAAAGCATGAAGGTTTCTACCTGAAGTGACCTCTGATCAATGTACAGCTAGTAAGATGGTGGCCTCTGATCGCCAGATGATCAACATACATCTGCAAAGATTGCCTCCAATCAACAAGATGAACTACAATTGACAAGGTCTGCCCATTTCAAAATCCAGATCACGAACAATGTGCATCCAAGATAGCCTCCAATCAACATCAGGGCTGTCCATTTCAAAATCTAGATCATGTGGAGCGAGGGGAAGGAGGGGGTTTAATCTGTTTTAAGTACTGTTGTCCATCTCTTGCCCACTCATTTTCAACTCGAGATATTCATCAATCCTCCGAAGGCTGCCTCTGATTGGTCAAGAAAGAAAGATGATCAATGTAAAGCAAAGATGAGCTACAATTGTTGAGAGCTGTCCGTTTCAAAATCCAGATCATAAACAAGCGGCTGAAGAATTTAAAGGGGTTTTAGTCCGTTCAAGTACAATGACAGTATCTTTTGCCATTATTGACGCTCATTAAATCCTATGCACCCACAAAACATGTAGTGTCTCCATAGACAATTATCAAGCAAATAGCTCATAACAGAGCCAAGGATCAAAATTATATTGTCGATGACATAACAAATAAAAATGATCCAATGCAATAAGATTGCATTAACAAAGAAGTTTACTACCAAAATGTAATGTGAAAAATATCTCAAAAAAAAAAAAGCTCATTCATCTTCCTGGCTGCGCAGCCTGGCAAGTTTGTTGGTAACAACTACATCAAGCTGGGCAGCTCGCTCCACGATCTCTTTCCTCTTCCTTGTTGACACATTGTGCGCAATCTCTGCACAGTAAGTCCTGCATAGCAAATATGAAATGTGAAGAGAGCAAAATTCAAGGGATTTTATAATAAAAAAATAGAAATAATGAATGGAAAGCAGAAAGGATTTCCTTAGCATTTTTACCTATTGTGCATCATCAGAAGTTCAAGCTCTTTAGCATTGTGTACAACAAATTTCTTGAAACCGTTGGGAAGATAATGGCGGGTCTTCTTGTCAGAACCGTAGCCAATATTGGGCATAAGGATGCATCCCTTGAACTTCCTTCTCACACGAGAATCAATACCTTTTGGTCTGCGCCAGTTCGGCTGACATAGACGCATTCAACCACACATTATTAATCCACTCAATAGAATGTCAAAACAATAACAGAAAAAAGGGAGAGAAGTAAACTGAAAGAAAGAATCATTACAATTTCTTTCAAGAACAGACAACTAAATTAAACATTAAACTCAATAAATGTAAGCAAATGTAAGCAAGCATTAAGTAACAGAGAGCTTATGATATAAGAAGCTAACTGTGTCGCAAGTCCTGTTTATCTTTCAATTTATGCCCTTTAAACGAGAAGTCCAGCAACAGAAATGAAGTATGGACATCAGATACCATGGGCAAATAAACTTTTTAAAATGTTTAATTTTTCGGAAAGGATAAAAAAAAAAAAAAAAAAAAACCACAAGTAACCATAATGCAAATAAAATATATACACTGATCCACCGCAGCTATCTCAGCCATAACAGCATTCCACCAACCATACAAATGTTTTCTTTTTTGGAAAGGAAAATAACCACAACCATAATGCAAATAACACACACACATATATATATATACTGATCCACAGTGGCAATCTCAGCAATAAGAGCATTCTACCAACCATACAGATGTTTTCTTTTCGGAAAGGACAAAAACCACAACCATAATGCAAACAACATATGTATACTGATCCAGAGCAGTAATATCAGCTGTAAAAGCATTAAACCATACATGATTAATCCAATCAACATAATGTCAAAACAACAGAAACAGATAGATAAAGAGATAAAAAGTAAACTGCAACATTACAATGAAAAAGTGAATCATTATAATTTTTTAAAGTACAGATGTCTAAATTAAACATTATACCAAATATAGAGAAAAAACATATAATGGAACAAAAATAATATATATAGATCCCAATAAATGTAAGCAAGCATAAAGTAACAGAGAGCTTATGAGCTAAGAAGCTAACTGTGTCGCAAGTCCTGCTTATATTTCAATTTATGCCTTTTAAACGAGAAGTCCAGCAATAGGAAATAAGCCTGGACATCAGATACCATAGGCAAATGAACTTTTTTCAATATTTTCTTTTTTCGGAAAGGAAAAACCACAAGTAACCATAATGCAAATGACATATATATACTGATCCAGAGCAGCCATATCAGCCGTAAAAGCATTAAACCATACATGATTAATCCGATCAACAGAATGTCAAAACAACAGAAACAGAGGTAAAGAGATAAAAAGAAAACCGCAACATTACAATGAAAAAGTTGATCATTATAATTTTTTTAAAAACAGATACTAAATTGAACATTATACTAAATATAGAGAAAAAAACAGATAATGGAACAAAAAAGAGGAAATATAGATCCCAATAAATGTAAGCAAGCATAAAGTAACAGAGAGCTTATGTATAAGAAGCTAACTGTGTCGCAAGTCCGGTTTATATTTCAATTTATGCCTTTTAAACGAGAAGTCCAGCAATAGTAAATAAGTCTGGACATCAGATACCATAGGCAAATGAACTTTTTTCAATATTTTCTTTTTCGGAAAAGAAAAACCACAAGTAACCATAATGCAAATGACATATATATACTGATCCAGAGCAGCAATATCAGCTGTAAAAGCTTTATTAAACCATACATGATTAATCCGATCAACAGAATGTCAAAACAACAAGAGAAACAGAGATAAAAAGAAAACTACAACATTACAATAATTTTTTAAAAAACAGATGACTAAATTAAACATTATACTAAATATAGAGAAAAAATAGATAATGGAACAAAAAAAGAAAATATAGATCCCAATAAATGTAAGCAAGCAAAAGTAACAGAGAGCTTATGTATAAGAAGCTAGGTGTGTCGCAAGTCCTGTTTATATTTCAATTTATGCCTTTTAAACGAGAAGTCCAGCAATAGGAAATAAGTCTGGACATCAGATACCATAGGCAAATGAACTTTTTTCAATATTTTCTTTTTCAGAAAAGAAAAACCACAAGTAACCATAATGCAAATGACATATATGTACTGATCCAGAGCAGCAATATCAACTGTAAAAGCATTAAACCATACATGATTAACCCGATCAATAGAATGTCAAAACAACAACAGAGATAAAAGAGATAAAAAGCAAATTGCAACATTACAATGAAAAAGTGAATCATTATAATTTTTTAAAAAAGAGATGACTAAATTAAACATTATACTAAATATAGAGAAAAAACAGATAATGGAACAAAAAAAGAAAATATAGATCCCAATAAATGTAAGCAAGCATAAAGTAACAGAGAGCTTATGTATAAGAAGCTAACTGTGTCGCAAGTCCTGTTTATATTTCAATTTATGCCCTTAAAACGAGAAGCCCAGCAACAGCAATTAAGTCTGGACATCAGATACCATGGGCAAATGAACTTTTTTCAATATTTTCTTTTTTGGAAAGGAAAAAAACAAGTAAACATAATGCAAATAAAATACATATGCTGATCCACACTAGCAACCTCAGCCGAAAGATGGTGTTAATTGTATATGATAATCACGAGATAAATCAGATATGATACAGTCTACATCACAGATTGCTAGAGCGGAAATTTAAAAGATTGTAAAATAAAAGACTATGCAAATGAAAAAAACGAAAAAGCCAACTTAAAAATATCTTGAGATGTGTAAAAGAGATCAGATGGTAGTGCATGTTTTATATTCATCATTCAACTGCAGAATAGATGGATAAGCATCATCACACCTCTTTTTTTTGCATATCTCAACTAAATACAAACCATAATTTTTAATTTTAAAATGTTTAAGAATCATAATATCATATTATAAATTATAAAATGAAAATAAAAATTTGAGCTTCCACTCAAAAAATAAAATGGAATCAGATACAAAATGTCCATCACCATGTTGCATCAAGAGATACAAGTAAGACTGGGGCGACAAAATTGTCATCATATTCCTCTGCAATCCAAATGGGATTGAAATATTTGGGAGGTTAAATTGAAAAAAATTGCAATCCAACAGGTCAAAAACTGCATAACAAAACCACGCAACACAAAAACAAATTAAAATTCTCTCAGACATTATATATATATATATATATATATATAAAGTACATATGTACAAATGAATACCAATGTCACAGGAATAACATATACTATGCGCAAATACAACAACAAAACATAAAAATCCTACAAACGGAGTATACATATTACCGGTAAACAAAGAAAACAACCTCATATGCAGACAATATCCAAGTACATAGATTTACATATAGATACGTGCGAATGATATGAAAAATGAATCGATCATATATATACCTTAACAGACACCAAGCGGTCGCTCCAAGGCCTCTTGAACTTCTTATCCCTCTTCTTCACGATCTTCTTCGTCAACAGAGGCACGGCCATCGCTTCGACCCTTGGTTTCTGCAAAATTCTTCACATTAGATCTATTGTGTGCGTATATATATATATTAATATACGTGTATATGTTAATATAAAAAACAGAGAGAGAGAGAGGGAGACTCACGACTAACTAGGGTTTTCTCTGCCGCCCAGCCCTTCGTTACAAAGGGTTGCTCGAGCTTATATATATAAGCAAACGCACATGTGAACTAGGGTTTCTGTGAGTGGGAGTCCATAGTAAATAGGGTACGGGAAAAAGGGCGGAATCGGAAACATATATAGTGTAATTCGATTTTTTTTATTAAAAATACAATAATAAAATAAATTTGTGAGGCGAATAATTCCACCACATTTCTTATTAACAAAAATACCTAAGCTCATTAATCCTTCACTCATTATTTTATACTAATATCATAACTATATTTTTATTTAAACTTTTTTTTTCTTCTTTTTTATCTTCTTTACTTCTTCTATTACTTTTTTTTTTTTCGGTTTCTAACAAATTTTTTTTGCATTTTTTTTTTTTTGGAAGTTAAAGATGAATATATATATATATATATATATATGAAATAGAATGTACAATCAAATCCCAAGCAAGGACCCAGTCCACGAATAATGGACGAGGCCCAGCAACACATCATACAAAAAACCCAATCACCAAATAGGGCCCAAGCCCACAGCAAATTTTTTTTGCATTGACCAACTTCTCAACTGCCCAACAACATTGAGTTTTTTTTTTTTTTTTTCTTAATAGCCACTTTGGGGCACGCCCGGGCCCAAGGTGGGGCTACTAGTATTTTGTATTCTGTTTTGCACTATATGTTTTTAGTTTCTTTATTAAATGTCCGCCTGAAATTTTCTGTTAGAAATTGTTAAAGGTATCCATTTTGGACCCAATATAATTAACTATTCAATATATATATATATATATATAGTTATTTACTTTATTGTATGTAATTTTTAAAAAAATTGCAAAATGTCCTTACGAAATTCTCTCTTTCTAAAAATTTCTCCAACTCTTTCTTCTTCTTCTTCTTCTTCTTCTTTTCTCATTTACTTTTTTGTTATTTCGAGTTTTTTTTTAATCCCTTTAAAAAATTACATTCACTTTCTTCAATAAAACCCTAATTTTCCTCTTCAGAGTTCGTTCAATTTTCTTTTCTTTTATTTGTTTTCTCTTCTTAAATTTTTGTTATTCTTGCAAAAATATATGATCCATACAGAGATAGCAACGGGTGAAGTTGGGGTGGAGTTAGCTAAATGAAACTCCACCCCGTTAGAACATTCGTCATACCAACTCCGCCCGTACATTAGGACAAGTTTGTAATTGGTATATTATTCTCGCCCCTATTCCAACAAATAAAATACCGACTTACCCCCACGAAGATGGGGAAAAAAATATAGGGCGAATAAAAAGCTCAAAGGCTTTCGATACTATGCTTCGTAGTTTACTGATTTATAAAACTCTATTTAATCGCTCAATATATATATATTTTTAAATAATAATAATAACGATCACAACATGAAAAAAGAAAAGAAAAAATACAATTTCTTTTGCCCAAATTGATAGTAATAAGATCTAATTCTTAAATTAAAAAGGAAAGGTTAAGTGTGCAATGGTATTGAAGAATGTATTCAATGTTAGCTAACAAAAAAGGGTGAGCAGGATGAACTAAAGATAAATTAGATTTTTTTGTTGACCCTTTATAAATGTATGTGTGCATATATGTATATTTAAATTCTCATTCATCGTTGTAGCAAATAATGGTGAATACGGGAGTATTCGAAATGTTTGCTCTCCCACTCTCTCCCTCTATTTTTCTTTATTTGTTTCAAGTGTATCTTAAATTTCTTTAATTTATTTCACTTTATTTTAGAGAGATAAAATGATTCCGATAATATTGGAAGAAAGATAAGATCGACAAAGTACAAGAGAGTAAAAAATGAAGAGATAAAATCAACAAAGTATAAGAGAGTAAAAAATGAAGAGATAAAATCAACAAAGTACAAGAGAGTAAAAAATGAAGAGATAAAAGGTGTAATTGAAGATTGTTTTTGTCATTTCAAATTTCAAAGGTGTTTTGTGGAAACCGAATATTATCTCCCAAAATGAATAAACCATGTTTTCTTATCTTTCACAATGATAGTTAAGCATCATCATCTAACTCATATTTTCTTATATTTTTGTAGTGGTAGTTCAAGCACCATCATCTCTTTTACCAAATGAATAACTCATATTTCTTATCTTTCATAGTGTAGTTCAAGCATCATCGTCTAATTCAGATTTTCTCATCTTATAGTGGTAGTTCAAGCACCATCGTCTTTTACCACGCTTCTTGAATGCAATGAACAGTATATTATTTATTTTCACAAAATACATGTTCTTGTGATCTTATTGCCAAAAGTGTATAAGACTTTTATCATCAATTAGGTGAAATTAAATATTCAAAACATCCCCAATTAATTCTTAAAAAATCACAAAAAAAAAAAAAAAAACCACAAAAGCTTACAAACATGAAAAGAAACTTAAGGCTCCGTAGTAAAATATTTTTCAGAAATCATTTTTCTCATTTTTCGGTGTTTGGAAGACTCCAGAGTTAGGAAATTATTTTTCATGTAAATTATTTTACCCACAAATGACTGAAAATGATTTAACAAAAAAATTTATTCAAGTCATTTTTTAGAGGCTACATTGAGTCATCTAACCATCCTTATTCTTATTGAATATCTATGTCCCTCTAACAAATAATCTTTTTCAATCCTCTAATCTAAAAATCTAATTTTCAGTCTTCTATCTATGTATGTATACATACAGTGAGAGGAGAAAGAAAGAGAGACAAAAATTTAGGTTTGGTTAAGGAATATATTTGGGTTAAAAGCATGGTTCGATATAGAGAGAGAGAGAGTGAAGAGTTACCCATCAAACTCGACGAAGAAATCCCGATTCTTCTTCTCTCTAATTTTGACTCCCTGTCTCTTTACTTTTGCATCTATCTCACATATATACCCTAACCTATCAATTTTGTGAAGGTAACGGGGTCTCTTGGTCATACTGATTTGGATCTTATTTGAAGAAAGAAGATAATAGAAGGAAAAAAAAAAAAGTTAATTTGAAAGGTTTTGATGGGTCTATTGGGCTATATGTTACGGAGAAGAAATAAATTTGAAGGTTTTCAGAGAGATATGAAAACAAAAGGATGGTGACAGTGAAAGGGTGGGGATGACAACGAACAGAAGGATAGTGGTGGTGAAGAGGTGGGTATGTGTTTACAATGGGTACTTGTTCCGTATTGAATCTGGATCTGTATGGGAAGTGAAATGGGTATAAATGGGTGAGTATGTAGCACTATTCAATAACTTAAGTTTTTGGGTAAATAAGTAAGCGTCCACTTCTTACAATTGGTTTCACAGCCATACCTAATTCTTGATCCGGTGTAACGCCAAATGCCCGCCCTGGATATGTCCAGGTGAGCCCACTGGAATAGGTAGGGTGGTTCAACTGCAATAAGGGTGTAATACCCCGATATTTTAAAAGATTTATTAATTAGAATTAATTACTTTTATTTTACTTTTAAATAATTTATTTGATTTAATTTGAATTAATTGCGTTTATTTTTAATTGATTTGTTTTATTGAGTGCTTAGATTAATTGTTTTATTTTACTTATATTTTGTGAGTTATTGATATGATGATTGTTGTGTGTGTGCTTAATTATTAATTGAATTGTTGGTGTGTTGATTTTATTGGTATGGTGTGACTTGGTTGTAATTTATTGTTTTGTTTATGTGCTTAGTGTAATTAGTTTTGTTAATTTAAGTATTTATTTAATTATTTGGTTTATTTAAATTAATTGGATTTGGGTTTAAGGGAAGTTAGACCAAAAGATGTGGTCTTGGGCTTGTATGAAGCCTTATTGGATTAATTAATAAAGGCTCATGGTAATTTAATTATTTAAATGATCATTTTTGTATTAATTATAAATATTTTTTATATATATAATTATATATAAATATAATTGTTTAATAATTGTTATGAAAAGATATATATTTATTGATATATATAAGTATATATGATTTAATTAACCAATGGGTTAATTATGAGAGGTGTGTACATATATATATATATATATATATATATAATATGTTTATAGATATATATTATTTAAAGATTATTATTTTAATTCATAGTACTAGTTGGAATAGGATTTGGATTTTAATGTGTATAAATATGCACATAAAACTTTAGGGTTAAATGTTGACACGTTAAAAAAATAAGAGAAGTAGAGAGAGAAGATGAGGTAGCTGACAAAGAGGAAGTTGAATTAGAGAAAAAAAAACGCTGGAATTGGAAGAGACAATTAAAACTTGAAGCGCTCAAGCAAGTTATTTTCTAACTCTCCTCTTAGGACCCATAAGTTTTTCACCTTGAATATCAAGGTTTTAATTAAATTATTAATTTAAATCATAGTTAGAACGGATTAATCAAAAACATGAATTATTATATCTTTATCCTTATTGATTAAATCGGAGTATTGAAAGTATGAATTATTATTTTATCATTTTTATTTTTGGAGTTTTGGATTTTGATTGTTATATATATGGGTTGTATATATATTTTAAATCAAAATAGTCTTGATCTAGGACCCGAGAGGTTAAATAGGGTTTATAGAATTTTTCGTAATTTTATGGAAATTTTCTGGAATATTCTGTGATTTTTATATATTTCTTGGATGTTTTAGAATTATATATTTAATTATATATGTATAAAAATATATGTATTTATATACTGTTTTCATACATATGTGGGGAGGATTAGCAAATTGCAAAAGGAGTTAGATTGAGTGCAGCGCAGTACACTGAATTATGGTGTACCGCGGATGTGAACCATTGATGTGGAATTGATGGCTAGTAAAGTAATCTGGTGTGATGCGATATATAGTAATGTGGTGTACCTTCGGATCTGGCCGTTAATGTAGCTAAATCAATGGCGGTTGATCAGGTGAGGTGGAGTGCACCTAATCTTGGTGCACAACAGATCTAGATTGTTGACTAGGTCTGGTCAACAGAGGAAGTGATCCACTGCTTTGCGGCTCACAAGATAAGAGAGAAACAGCTAACCAGAAGCAGCCACGTCCCCCATAATGAAGAATAGGCGTGTGGCAGCGCGTGTAGTGGGGGCGCGTGAATACACCTGCCAGCTATGGGTGGCGCGTGGAAGATGTTTGTGGGCGTGTGGCGGCTC